GTCCATCTTTAAAAATTTGTTTGGTTGCCCTCTCCCAGCCGACTGACTAAAAACTGATCGACTCAAAACTGGTTTTTTTTTACATTCCAGGCCCCGGGATCATGAAGCATCTTAAGCTTAAGTCAAAAAATGCCTTAGATGCTGAAATTTTTTAGAGGTCATGCAACTCAAAATGAAAATGCTTTCCGATTTGGTATCATCAGCCTGCTGTTGCATGCAAATTATGAGTTTCCTTTAACAAGTTTTGAAGATTTTATAGATAATTGAAATTTTGACTTAAGTCTAAGTCTGTTTCATGATCCCGGGGCCAGGACTCTTTTTATTCCTCTTATCCCAATTTTACACGTTTTTACTGAACAAACCTGGATGACTATTCATATCCTTTAAAATAATCACTGAGTACATGTATACAAACACCAGTATGCATGTTTTTTAAGCAGCATTTAATAAGAATTGTTTCTACAAAACTGAAGTTCTACATTAATTTCCAATTCTGGGCAAGACTCAGTGCATTGTCTTTACAGAGTCACATTTAAGTATGAATGCCTTAAGGTATTTCCATCTTCTTGTAATGTCATTGGTTTTTACACAAAGCTTCATTAATTCTAATTCATACCCAATAATTTTTTTTTGGAAAAATACTTTTTATATGTGATGAAAAAAAAACATCCTTATATATATTTTCTTCATTTATTCAATTATACATCTTCTGTTCATACAGAAGTGCTTAAAATCTTAAGGGCGGTTCCGACACAAATGTTTCTTCCCTTTTTTCTCAGCTTCAACTTATATTAAGTGTTCACTTGTCAATAAGGCTGTAACTGAAGTTAAGTTTTTTTTTTCAGGCTAAGAATCACATCTGTATTTAATTCGGCCACATGTCAACAAGACTAAAGTGTTTATACTTGAGCTGCTACGAATGACCTACATGTTCATCAGAATTTTAAACTAAAAGCCACAGAAAGTCAAAAGACTGAAAGCTGGGAAAAAGGGGAAGAAACATTTGTGTCAGTACCTCCCCTAAGATTTTAAGCACTTCTGTATGAACAGACTTGCAGCATGCATGTATATGATATACTTTTTTGAGAAACTTGTCATACTAAATCTGTTTTTCCCTGAATCAGTGGGCCCTTTTATGTTTTTACTAAGTTTAAGCTTGCAAAAGTTTAGCACTGATACAAGTGAATTGTCATTTTTGTCACGCCTTTTTCTAGATTTTTTTAAATGTTAAAAATTCCTCTGTGTGTGTGTTCAGACAGAGGAAATTTGGATTGTAAATCGTCGATCAGATTCCTTATTTACAGAAGTTGGATTATATGTATATCATTATATTCCATTTACCAGTATATTTTAAATGAAAGGGAAAGATCAATCCATGGATTTTTTGATTTAGGCAAACCTTGTACATTATCGGTTTGTTATTTTGAAAAAGTCAGAGGAAATTCAGATGTTTAATATGCACTTTTTTCACCTAAACTGTGTAAATATGTCAGTGTTATTTTCTAAATTAGGTATACATATTACATCTTTAAAAAAATTATTAAAATTTTAATATCACGATATTGGGTTATTTGTTTAACGCTCCAAAAATCAATTCAAAAGTTTAAGTTTAAAAAAAACATAAGAAATTCGGAATGTAAATTTTAAAATCTTGAATATTTTACATTAATTTTCCTTCAAAAGTATTATATAAAGTTTGTTTTTAACATATTTGATTAAATAAAAAAAAATAGGAAATTCGGAATGTGAATTTTAAAATCTTGAAATTCATGCTGTCATAGAATGTTGATGGAATGCATTATCTATGAGTAAATATTAATAACAAGATAATGTTGATCTGTTACTCTATTTTATACATGAAAATAAATAAATTCTGATTATAATTTGTAAGTTTTTGGATATACTTTTTTTTACTGGCAGTGGGATTTTTTTTCACAGATTTTACATTTTTAAACATGGGCATATGCAGGGGTTGTTGCCATGGAAACGAGCGCATTAAAGACCAATTTTTTTTACCGTATGGTTACCTGAGGTGGGGAAGTGGTCTAGGTCAGTGGTGTAATTTACCTGGAGACCCCCAATACTCAAGATGTCAAAAATCTGTGTATACGTAGCATTTCACAGGAAGTCTGTGTTTGGTAATCAGGGTCAACATCACGTGTTTCGTGTCCAATTTTTAGTGAAACTCCTTGAAATTTAAAAAAAAATCCATTTATCCGTCGCGTGAACATTCACTGCGATCGGAAGATTTTTTTTAAATTTTCTGGTCAACAATGTTGTCCATATTATTCAATATTTTTGAGTGTTTGTGTGTTAACAAACTTTTATTGTTTGAAAGATTTCTTTTCAGGGTCGATCTCTGTTCGTTTCGTTATCTTTACCTTTTCTTTACGAATATAGACAGACGATAGAGGAAATTCGAGCAATATAATTCTGACATTTCCTTACAACCAGAGGCGTCTAGATCTCTGTTCATAGGCGTCGGAACCGGGGGGGGGGCTTAGCCCTCCCCTCACTTTTTTTTCAAATATATATACTTAGTATAGACATTGAACATTGCTACGTAGGTTTAACCCCCCACACTTTCTACAGACACGTTGCTGTATAGGTAAAAAATGTGGAAAGTGTTGGTGTCTTGGAAAAAAATTGGTACTGAAGTTCAAACCTAACACCCCCCCCCCCACGAAATAGGATTTTCGTGTTTGGGAAATGGAAATTTTTTTTTCCTTTTTTTTTTTTTTTTTTTGCTTGTCAAGTTTTTTTAGAAGGTATAAGAATTTTTTTGTACACTTAGCCCCCCACGTTCAATTTGCTTCCGACGCCAATGCTGTTAACAACATCGAGTAGATTGAATCCATTATACAAACTTAAGATAAAACATCTTTTGTAAACCAAGCCGCTTGTGCTGAATATTTTTACTTATTTATATATATTCATGTTATTGTTTTTTTTTCATGACCTTATTTTAATCGGTGGACTTCCATTTGTGGTAAAAGTATATAAAGTTTCTGTGGACGGCCTAAATATTTCTAGAGATATCTCGGACGACATATCACTTACAAGTACCAAAAATTCGTGAGGATTAAAAACAGATATTTTATGAAATTATTGTTTTGATTATCTACTGTAGATTATTTTTTGAAATAAAATCCTTACTGGTTTTTGTTACCCGCGTGTATCAGCTGTGTATACAAGGCGGGTACATGAAAGTGTTTGATGCGTGACCAGGCAATGGTTTTCAAAACATGCAAATTCAGTTTATCAGGAAGTGCATATCTGGCCTGTCAATCAAATCAGAAGCTATTGTTTTTTAATGATTGACAGGAGGTAAATTCTTGATCTTGAGTCAGCTAGATTTTAGGGGCGTTAACATAAAATTGAGTGTTTAAATATATATATTTTTTAATGATTCTTAAACCACAAACTTGTCTTTTATCCGAAGGTAACCATCTTTTAAAATTTCAATTACTTTCACGACAGATTCGAATCACCTTAACAAATTTTGATTGATTAATCTTTTTTGTTTAACCTCCCATTCGAGCATTTTTTACCCATATAGAAATCTCACCATAAACCGGTGAAGGGCTTCTCATTTTGACATTGACTCGGCACTTAGGGCCATTGAGCAGTGAGGAACAATGCTCATGACTGCCGTGAACTCGGTTTCGAGGATCTTATCCGAAGGGACAGCAACTTTTACTTCATTGCCCAGCACATGGCAAAGAACCAATAGCTTTCTTGACTAAAGTTAGTCGTAGCCGAGATTTGAACTCTCGACCTTCCGATTACATAGCAAGAAATAGCAATTAAAAGCAGAAAAATACCGACTGCTCAGATAAAAATAATATGTCAAAATCAATAAGCATCTTGAAATTTCTTGGTGCATACCGGTAATTCTTTCATCTCTCGCATTTAAATTTCAAACTCATCATGAAACATTTTGAAAAAAAACGTCAAAGATTTCTCACATGTATAAAAGTATACCCTGTGTGGTAATAAAGTATGTATTCCTTACAATTTCTGCCGATGACAAAGTAAACAAAAAATTAAAATCTTTATTACAAATTCCACACATTAGTCGTTTACGATGCAATAGACCAGAATTAATCGTTTTCTATATCACAAGGAACAGAAGTGTTACTAGTATATGAAAAAAAAAATGCCCTGAATTTTCGTGTGAAGTCAAAGTCTGGGAAGAGCTTTTAAAAACTAATGCTTCATCAATTATAGACAAGAAAACAATGATGTAACCATCAATTGTCGCCCGGGAAATATATAAAGTAAACAATGGAAATGACTCTTGATCATCAAACCGCTTCGATATGTGTGAAAAGGCATGCGTCCAATTAATGGAGACGATAGTCGCGAATATTTGGAAAACTTATAGTCGGATAAATGTCAAACTAAAACGATACTATTTTAAACTTCAATTCCTCGAGTAAATGTTGGCTGCATAAAATATAAATTAAAGTTAGACAAATGCATCACATATATTTAAAAATGTATTTGATTTTCAATTTAGAATATAAATTAAACACGAACTGTGCAGAGTACGTTTTTATGCGAGAAGTAAAATTCAATGTTCAAAAAAAAGGAACCTGTCGTTTTTTGATAGTAAATGCTAAACAACTTTATATATTAAATATGAAAAACATGTATATTTTTACAGATTCACTTTATGAAAGTAAATATATTATATATCTCATAATTTATAACGGGAAAGAACATTCTGATTAATAATCTTTTCAATTTTTAGAAAACCTTTAATTTTGAATAACTACTCCCACACCAATCTCCATATACCAACACTTAAACTTATATGTATAGAGCAGCCCGGTCCTCCGGGCTGCAATAATTCGAAAAAAAAATATCAGAATAATGATAAATGTATATATTTTATTGTACCGGTAAATGGTATCCTCCAAAAGTTATTGTTGAGTGGTAATTTCAAATTTTTCGAAAGTATATATCAATCTGATTGGTTACGAGATTGCATACGCGTCTTGTACGCAGGTTCAAGGTTATAAATATTTAAGAACGGGCAGAGACGATAAGACTTGATTAGGCTTTGTTATCTGATATACTGACAAGAAAATGAAAATATTATTGGTCGTTATTGTCGCCCTGTGTTTGGAAAATCCATGTTATTCCCAGGGTAAGTATAAAGAATTAATATTAGCTTTAAAATTAAAAGAAAAAAAAAACGTACCATAATATATATGAAGTTTCTTTTGCTCAATGATTCACTGGATATTTCTATGAAGGTCACTGATTGCGTTTTAGGTAGTGTATCTGAATGTCTTTTGATTAAGTTTAACATGTTTGAAAATATTCTGATTCAATATTATATACGACATATTGTTTTGCAAATAAACATGTAATATTAATATATTTGTTTTGAAAGCTATACAGTGTACACATGGCTGGGTTGGACTTAATACCAAATGTTATTTCTTCAGCAATACAAAAGAAAAATACACTGATGCAAGTGTAAGTGCTTATTTTTTAAAGTTGAAATATCTGTGTATTTATCAATGCTTTCAATATTTTTAGTATTTCAAGAAATTAAAACTTAATCAATATATTTATAGGCCTACTGTCATGCATTTGGCAGCAAATTAGCAGAACCAATTTCACAAGACGAAGTTCATTTTATATCCAAAAAGGTTGTTGAAAGAGGTAAGCATGCATGGATGAGATTTTAATCCCCTCCTCAATTTGCTTTTGCTGGAAACCCAATATTTTAGGTATTTTTTAAAAGAAAAAGTAAATTTTTAGCATGAATTTTATGTCATTGAATTGGAAAAAGGAGGAAATTCTAATTGTCAAGAAACTAGACAATATTAGCTTTTCTTCTTCAGGACACGACTCTTCTTTTTATATTGGCGTGAATGACCTTTTTCTGGAGGGAGAATGGGTGTATGCTTACGAAAGGACGCCACTTAAGATCCATCCCCCTTGGATCAATGGACATGCTGATAATTCTCATGATGAGGATTGTATTGAGGTGTACTCCGGCCATCAAGGGAAATGGGCGGATATTCCTTGTAGCACACCTCTTTATTACATCTGCGAATATGACTATGAGTAAGAAATATTTGTAACAATTATCTTTATTTACATTTCTGAATATGGCCGAGAATATTTTTTAGCATATCAAATTATTAAAGTTTCATTTTTTTAAAACCTGTTTTATTTTCATTTTTTCAGTGCAGAACCTTTGAATTTGGGAAGAAGAAAGACATTGTAATTAAAAAGAGGTCATTAAAATAAAAAAAATTTATAATTTAATGCCTTTTATTTATTTCAAAAACAAAAGTTACCTAATTGTAGTTTGATCGAAAAATGACTAAAACAATTCATTACAAAAATTATGTATAAAAATAGAGTTTTGTAGGATAAATTTCATTAGGACATCTTCAAGAACTAGTTTAATTTATGCATGAAAGGTATTGCGATATCGAACAGTATTCAAGCTCAGAAGTCCATAAAACAATACAAAATAGGAGTAGAGCAAACATGGACATCCAAAACATCAGAGGTGGGATCAGATGCCATGAAGGAGCACCCCCTGCCGACCGATCACACCGGCATTGTGATTCTTGTGATTATCGGGAAATAACGGTGGACCTGTCGTCAATCCCGTGTGTAGATAATGGACTAACAATATTATTGTGAAAAAAGTCAGTCAGAGTTTGACTTAATGATAAATTGCATTTGTTGACAAAGTCATTGTATCGACCATAAAACTTACGTGATGACGACTTTAAACCAGACTGCTGATATTATTGTTTCTTAAAACTTCTTTGTCAATAATTTATCTCGTTTTAGAAATAACACTTACGTAGAGTTTGCTTTTGCGTATCGAATCACTTGAGGAGATATAAACTCTGTATGCAGTTGATAAAGGTATATTGAGTACTTAGATTTACAAAAAATGATATGAATTGAAGGTATATTGCTGCATAAGTAATGGAAGTTGACGATAAAAAAGTTAAAGGCATCACTTTTATTATAGAGCTTGGTTTTTAGATTACTATGAACGTCTTATCAAGTAAATCTGCCAAAATAAAACATATGTGTCAGACTCTCTGGATATTTTATCTTTAGCTCATCGGGATATATCATGTCGAAATAAGAATTGAAATGACCAGTGTTAATTGACAATACGTCGTAGATTTACTGAGCAAAATAAGTTTAGCAATTTAAGATATTTATCATAAAACAAAGTTAGAAAAAATACACACAGCACTTAAAATTGAAGAGAGCTTGTCATCACATAACAAAACTAGGCAAATCTTATCGACAATTGTGTGTTGTTTTGTAAGAAATATCGTGAAACTGATTACTGATACGGGCTTGAGGCAGCAAGTGATTTTTATCATTCACGTACAAGATGTTGCACAACATTGGCGTCATATAAATACAAAAATATGTGTGCTTATATGGGTGCTGAATAGGTACCCATAGGAATTCCAATTCATATATATTGTTTGAAGACCTGGTCTCAAAAACCACAGAGATATAGTCAATCAGAAATCAAACATATTTTCATGTCATCCTCAGTGTACTTGTTTGTACAATGATACTGTTTTTTAACAAAATAATTTTGCAAATGACCAAACATCACTCATCATTTGACTTATCAATATACACTTATTTAATGACTACGAGGTAAACAGTCAAACTGTTGTCCCGAGTAGTCATTGAATAAGTGTTTTATTACCTAACCTACTACATAATTAATTAAATTGGAATAAAAATACACAAATAATCAATAAAGAGTTTTAACAACTGTTTATGCACATACTTTTCTATTAATTAGCTGAACACATAATATTAAGATTAAATTAATATTTAATTATTAAAAGATATACTTAATAAATTGATTGTTTGTGTGTTTTATCTCAATTTAATTAATTATAGAGCAGGTAAATAGTGACGTCGTGATCATCAAACCGTTTGAATATCATGATGACGCTTTGAACAGGCAACAGTTCATTCTGTGGACCGGTCAACAATTCGACTGTTTCATGATCACGCAAAAACATAAAATAAATTGTAAAACAGTTCAAAATGCCTAACAACAATTTATATAGTAGGTTAGGTAATAATAGATTTTATTTCCTGACTACATCATTGTATTGAACATAAAATTGTTTCTGTAGATATCCTTGTTTCATTAACTTATTAGTAAAAAGATTGCTTGGTCATCGTTCAAACAAACAGTTTGTAAAATGAATCACATTTGAGACACGTCTCTATATACAGGTATTAATGATATATTGGTACACAAATAAAGAAAGTTGATAGAAAAGTTTAGGTCTTCGCGTTTAGTTTACCAAAGAGTTGAAAGCAAATTAAAGTTGAAGAATTGTCAGGTAAAACATTTTGACACATGGGGCAACTTGTTCAACTGAATGAACTTAGGGCAATATCCAGTATTACTGAGAAAATCTCAAAACATTTCAGCTGTCATAAGATTTCGGTCAGATTCTTTTCTAAAAATAAGGTGACTGACCGCTCGTACATTAAGCCAGGAATTGGAAATGACTGTCCTTCAACCAAGATACTGTAGACCTCCGAGTAGAACTATAGCTGGAATAGTAATTAATGTTACGGTTGCAGAAGGTCATCGGTTCTAGGGTAAATATTAATGAATATAAGATTCAGAACAGAATACTTAGATGTACAAAAATGATATAAATTGAAGGTATATAGCTGCATAAGTAAGGGAAGTTGACGATAGAAAAGTTAAAGTCATCACGATAGAGCTTGGTTGTTAGATTACCATAACTGTTACAGTGCAACGTCTTTTTCAAGCTTAATATTCAAGTATGAAACAGATATGTCAGATTCTGTGGTATCGTTTATATCAAGCTCAGCATGATATATATCGTATCGACATAGGAATGGAAATTACCATTGTTAATTAACTATACATGTACGTCCTCGATAAATCTAAATGTCGAGTTGAAGGACATAGCAGCTTAGGTAGATAGCGTTCACACTGTTTACAAAGAAAGTTGTTTTCAATTTTGGCGGTTTTTGACACTGGTCACTATCTTATCTACATACAAGCTGACCAACTATACAATAACAGCAGGGGAACGATAGTTTGTACTTGATAACTTTGAATTGAATTAACTTATAGAAATAGGAAAATGTCTAAGATTGTAATGGCCATTGGAATCTTTCTGATTTGCTTGGTTTCTGCGTGCACAACAGGTAAAATTTATGTGTATATTGCTAAATTACTTCTCACCTGTGACAGCCAAAGCAAGATATTTTTTGAGATAAAAATAGTATTAATTATGAAATAATCGATTTTATTCATTGAATTTTGCTAGCTTCCCCCTGCACAAACGGATGGGTACTTTATGAAGAAAAATGTTATTTCTATAGTAATTTCAAGGAAACGTGGCATACAGCTTCTGTAAGTATTTTTATACGCTTTCAATCCCCCACCAATAAGTATTTTATAATATTTTCATTGAGAACATAAGTGCTTACAAATTAGATATTTTTCTTTTTCGAAGGCTTATTGTCAGGCATTTAATAGCAAACTCGCTGAACCGAAAACGCAGGAAGAAGTTGTTTTCTTGTCTCAGCAAGCAGCACAAACAGGTGAGCCTTGTTTACCATTGGTATCTGTATCCCCAACCCCCAAACATTATTAATCTGGAAAAAGGGATAAATTTATATGCAAACGTCAAACATTTAAGTTCTTTTTAAATGTAAAAATTAAAACAATTTTTGTTTATTTAAAATGTTTTTGATAAATAAAACCGATGTATGCAATAACATTTTAAAATGTTTCCTTTAAATATGTCTAAGTGTGCTCTATACAAGCTCGTCATTTGACCTCAAATTAAATTTTAAGTCTTACATGGTCAATATAATTTCACAGTCACATCATAAGTATTCATTATTTATCGTTGAGGTTTGAAGAAACAAATAATGTTATGGGCTTAAAATAAGGATATTTTAATGTAAGTTGAAGACCTTTCAGAATGTAACAATGGCTTATTTTTTTTCTTAACATGTCAGGTTTTATTGCTATTTGTTGTTATATATGTATTAAAAACGGAAACTTACAAAGTCATTTCATTTGTCAAACAAAAAATCAAATTAACAAGAAAAAAAAATCTTATTTCCCCCCAGTACTCTTTACACATAGCTGAAAGGGAACCGGCCTGGTACATGATACATCAATATTGAAATTCCATACACTTTTTTTCACAACTTTTGATTTTGATACAGTAAATGACAGTCAATACTTCATTGGCGTCACGGATGCGTTTTTGGAAGGAGAATGGGTGTACGCTTCCTCACGAATCCCTATCAAAGTAACCATTCCTTGGACACACTCTGGACCTCAGCACAGCCAGGAGCAGGACTTTGTAGCAACAGATACGTTACCACCCGTCAATGGTCAATACACAAAGAAAACCTCCACAGACACATCCAACTTTATATGTGAATACAGTCTAGAGTACGTATAATACCGGTATATGATTTTTGAAAGCTTAAAAGTATGTTTTAAATTTATTGATTCCCTGTCTGTTTCAGTTTATAGCATAATTATGATCAGAGACGGAATATATCTACCTCGCGCAAATAAAGATGTTTCTAAAGGTTTTGATTAAGTTTTTTCGTAGAAAGTAGCTAATCAAAGAACTATATAGGGTTTCTATTATAGTTTGGCCCCCGTTTTTGTTACAATTTAAACGCCACTAAACCTCAATGAAATTGATATTTTTGGAAAGATAAGAATTTTTACTTTTCTTTTATGGTTAAATTGATATGTTGATTTAAGTAATATGCAGAGAATTAAAGGTTTAAAGTAACTAAGTTTACAAGAAAACGCCTAAAAGTGGCATTTTTAGCATCATTATTGCATTTTAGGTATAAAATGCGACGCCTTGAACAAGAAAAATATTTAAACACGTAAAAGATATTTTCAATTCAAAGTCTTCATACAAAAAAATAATCTTTTCAAAAAGTGTGTGTGTGTTAAAAAATTAAAAAACCTTGAGAAAAATAGCACTTTCTGACTCGCGTGACGTCACAAGCATGTACGGAGAATGACGACGACGTTGTTGAATTTTTTTTATTTGAAGGTAGCACACATCATCGATTGCTTCATGTATATTTTCCAACATAAAGTTCTAGACATATCTGTTTTTGAAACATATTTGTGATTAAAGAATATATTTTATCGGGATCGACATTGATCTGTTAATCTGTTGATGTGTGAATGTACGGGTGTGGATCACAAGGAACACGATGTTCGAATCGCTTGAACTTCGTCTACTGTACATTAAATCAGTTCAAAGAAGAAATATATACACAGTATAAAATTATTTGATCATGTTAAAATACGTTCATTGTGTGTGCATATTTCCATATCTACTTTCTACGTTGTCATTTCTTCCCATATCGTTCATTGTTTACCTGTTTACAAGGCAAGAAATGCACGGTCAACCAGACGTGTGAAAAATTCAACGTTATTCTAAGAAGTTCGGGGCATTAGTAATTTCAATAAAACCAACTAAAATATTTTTTCTATAAATGTTGAGTACAAATAGACAACAAAAATAATATTAATATTTCACATTCATAAAAGTTATCTCCCGTCGTCGGCGTAACGCAGATCCTTTTTCACACTTTGTCCTTTGTAAGTTTCCTGTCAATATTTTTAAATTTCAAACGTTTTAGGACAATTTCGATCTGTACCTGTATTGCCAGAGTATGGGGCAATATGAAAAACATAATGAGCATATTCATATAGATTTTATTTCTAGGATACTGACTAGTCGGTAAGGTTATAGAGGGAAAGCAGCGTCTTACGCCGGTTGACCCCGGATTGACCCCGCAAAGGAGAAATAACTTATGTTCATTGTTTACCTGTTTACAAGGCAACAATTACTCGGTATATTTTACTGATTGCACCCTTCCCCCTCTACGATATCAAAACAAGATTCCAATATTTCACCAGGTCTATTGGTGCACCTGTGTGGCGCAGTGGTTAGATTATTTGACCATGAGTCGCAGAGTATAGCGATCCTTAAGTAGAGGGTTCATATGTCACTTCGGAATCGAGACATAACATTTCGAATATAAAAAGTTCTCGAAAGGGTAGATAAAAAACATCAAACAAATAAATCTGTTCAATGAATTTGTGTAATTCCTGAATGACAACAGTTACATTAATTCGTAGTGTTTTCTTCAACATTTTTATGTTTACCGGTAATTTTAAAAACCTTATATCATTATGCCTTTTGAATTTTTTAACAACGTATTGTAGGCAATATTTACACTATCTACCCATTCTGATACTAGAATTTTTGTACATGTTAAAAGAAAAGGACATCAATTTCAAGTGAGAGAAAATTAAAAATGACAAAAAAAAGATTGTTGTTTAATGTCCCTGTTAGAATTTTTCTTTATATTGAGATACCACCACTTGCAGATGAAGGGAAGATCTAACCTAAATGTATACTCGGCACTTACTGTAATTGACCAGCGAGAGATCTTTTTTGTGCCATCTCCTACTACACACGGGACCTCAGTTTATACGAACTGAATACGAAGGACCGAATATATCACGTTCCACAGTGGGATTACAAGAACCAAGCGACTAAAGATTAGTTTTCAATTTTAGTTTACTTCGCGACTCTAAAAATAAAAGTAAACATTATAAACTACTGCGCCACGCGGGCGACACTTTGGCTATAGAATCATAAATAAAAAATTCATTAATATAAAAAAATACACGTCTATATGTTGTTTCACTACTTATTTCTGCACTTCAAATATGATTATGCTATGTAAAGTTTTAATGTTCATATTGCAAAAATATGCTGAATGATACAGATGTATCCAATTAAAAACATTTTTCATATTTTCATCTGCCAGTAATTTGAATTTTATAAATGATTATGGTATAACAATTTTTGACAAGATTTTGAATTAGAGATTTAATCAAATCATAAATCATATGTATACATGTACTAGAATATAAACTTTTATTGTAATTTTTCTAAGTTAATAGACATACTTTTCGGACAATCTGCAGTTACAGCGGCATTTGCTTTTGCCAGTGAGCATTCCTCGTTGGCACCAACCTGGATCCCTATTAAAAGATTAAAGAAAATATACACACAAGCATCAAAATATTTTGTATTTTTTATAATAAGAAATATTAATTATCTTTTTTGTTTGGATGATGAAATATAAACAACAATTCAATCGAGTTTTATTGACCATGAATCTCTGCTTAACCCATTTTTACCGTAACAGTTTATGTGAAGACATGGAAAATAAATAAAAAACGTCAAAAAGATTTCTCCACCACATGTATATTCAGCTCCATGCATGTTCCGTCCTCCCTTTTTCCACTATCTAAAGAGAAATCAAATATACAGACTTTACACAACAAGTGTTTTCTTCTATGCGTTTTTGTATTTCAGTGTGGAGCCTGTATTAGTGATCGGATGAAAAGAAGGAAGATTTCAAAACAAAACTTATGCTAAATATGTAAAAATAAAAATATTAAAATCTAACAAATCCTTGTTTATGTCTTCGAAGGCCAGAAATAAAATTAAACACCGATAAGGTTATTTCTGTGGACATGAGGGTCACAGGAAGCTTTATTGATATGGGGGCCTACGTAGAGATAAGAGAAATGTAATAGAGCTGCTATCGTATGAACATGCTGAATATAAGGATTGTTTTTGTTTTCGTTCTTTCGTATTTTGCATATTCAAAAGGTAAATACAACCGTATACCTTTTTGAGGAATAGGATGTCTAAATTTTAAATTAGAGTTTGTTGTAAAGATATCTGTGTGACTTTTATACAGGAAATAGCTTATTTTATTTCTTATGGTAAAATATGAGATATATGATATTAATAATATGTTCGGGCATTCTTTTCATTACGTCATTAAGAATAATTATTCAATGCATGAAGTATTAAAATATGTATTTATATATTTGTATGTGAGATAGAATTTGAAGTGATCCGATAAATTTAAAAGAACAAATGAACATGTTTCTATATTGGAAATTATACCAATACTTCAGCCGCCTGTTCGAACGGATGGATCAACTTCCAAGAAAAGTGCTACTTCTTTGGTAAGACAAAAGAAACATGGTATGGTGCTTCGGTAAGCATTGAACATTAAATATCGTTTTTATACAGTTCATTATTTTTTTGCTTTAAATTGTATTTTTAATTTGGTTATCATTTTGAAAGAAAGAACAAACATGTTTTTTACAATTCAAACGATTCATTTTCGTTTATGAAGCTTTGAAATTTAATAAATTCTATAACACGATTTAAAAATGGTTTTCTTGGATTTATTTAGGCCTTATGTCAATCCTTTGGCAGCAAATTGGCTGAGCCGACAACTCAGGAAGAAGTAACATTCTTGGGCCGTGAAACTATGCAAATTGGTAAATACTGAATCTTTTAGTTTTAAATCAATCAGTTATATGGTTGGGTGTCCTCTTTTCAGATAAAAATGGTAAGTGTAGATTATGCCCTTCTTTAAAATTTGATAAAGTCATATTGTTTCGTAAACACTTATTGTAGGGATAACTGATCTTGTCGTCTATTATAAGAATCTAAGATATATTGTTTTTTTTCCTTTGAAGATCAATGGTTTATAAAATTTAACAAACATTTTCTGTACGATATTTTGTGTTTTGCATTTCTGAAATGCACCTCTTTTGAAAAGTCATTTACAATAAACTTCATTGTCTCCTTCGGCATTTCCACATAATCATTATCTTATGTCAAATCAATCACATGTAAACAAAAGATATTACGTATGATTACAACATGCTTAAATTAACTTTTAAATAAGGAAATAATGGAGATTACTACCTTGGGATACATGACATTTTTGTGGAGGGGGAATGGGTGTATGCCTTCTCCAGGAAAAACGTGACCATAACGATTCCGTGGGCCCCGGGCGGACCTGATAATTACCACGAGGAGGACTGTGCTCTGATAGGATCCGCTCCCGTGTGGCACGGGCTGTGGGGAGATGCCCCCTGCTCAAGTTTACAGTACTACATCTGTGAATACGATTTAGAGTACGCATATATCTTTTAATCTGTGTACCATATAATTACAAGAACCAAGAACAAACTAGTCATCAGTAATTAGTTTTCAATTTTAGTTTATTTGTAAGAAAGTCCAAATACTAAAATCTATAAAAGTAAACATTATAAACATTGCAGTATATTCTTTGTTTAATGCTGTATCATGTATGCTTTCTGTTGGAAAAGTTATTTTATCGTTGAAAAGTACTGTTTTAGATAAAGTTTTTAGAAAATACACGTGTGGTTTTTACATACATTTTAATTAACTTTAACAAATAGAGCACAAACTACGCATGGAAAAAAAATCATTATATATATTGTAATAGTAGTTTTAGTTTGCATAATATGATAAGTTGAAAACCAATTTAATTATTCTTTTCTGTGTCTATTTCCATTTGCCGTTGAGTATTTATATTAATTGAATACAACAATAATCATATTTCACTTCTCTTTTTACAGCTTTGATCCACCTATGGTAATAGGATAGCAAGGATGGAAATGTATCATTGAACAAGGCTTGAAATGCAATAAAATGTTTTAAATATGTTACCTGAATATTGATATAGGTGTGATTTCTGAAATTAAATAAGAGTTTAATAAAGAAAAGGAACAGAACCCTGTTTGCTAAAATAAAGTAAACTATTACATGTAAGTACAAGAATCATCCAATTTGGAATCATCATGGAACAATTAGAATCCCCGCCGTGATATATTTGTTTTCTCTTTTTTTGAAAAAAGAAACTCGTTCAACAATTGGTATGAACGTAGTAGCATTATACATTGTTAAGGAATCGCCAAAATGTGCTATGACTTTGAATTGGTGAGGAAATCTTCACACACACTCGAAATACTGTTTCATAGTCAGGTTGGTCAGTTTCAAATAACCAGTTTCGAATTATTATTAATTTAAGAGCTGATAATTAATAAATTCAAAGGTGTAAACTAAAAATAAATTGATACCTATGGTAAGAAGGATTATTTATGAGTGTTTGAATTTTGATTTTTTTTGCCGTCTGTTCGGTATCGTTATCGTTCTTGAAATAATAGATAATAGTCATACTTTTGCAATGCAACAAATCTGAATCACCGCGAAGCGTAAGTCTGCACAAAAACCTCTGCGGAGACATCAATTTTTCACATAAAACAATATTCCAGGTATCAAAAGTAAGTTTTATATGTACTCTAACGAACAATAAAAACTTGTCTAAAAGAAACATTTAGAACACTAAAAGATATCGATATATTTCCGGTTGTCATTTTACTAATCCCGAATACTCATTTTAAACACTATTATAAATTCACTCATTGTTGTTTTATTTATTGTAAACGTGACTTATTATATATGTCCACGCTTGAAAAACAAGGGGAAGGGGTATATAGTGATGGGATGTTTGCTCATCCATCCGTCTGTCCGTCCGTATGCCCGTCCGTCTGATACGCTTTGGGTACCCTTTTTTATCGGCAACTCCTTTTCTATCACTGAATGAAATTTAATGAAGCTTTCACAGAATCTTTGTTAAATAGTGCCAAAGTGCATATATCTTCTATTTCATTTTTGATTTGGCACATAATTTGGGCTCCCTCAGCATTACATGGATACTGCCATTCTTTCTAATGTTGAAGGGTATATCCATCTCTTATCCGCAATTCCTCCATACCACTGAATAAGATTTAATGAGACTCTTGCAGATTTTGCTTTTTGCTTAATATTTATTTTGGGTCTCCCAGAACAAAACATGGACTTTGACATAATAATCATATAGGAGACTTGGGGTATCATTAAATTAATTTCAGTGCTCACAGTACCTTTAGTTTCACTTTATCCTTTGGAAATACAAATGACTGATTGGTAAGCAATTAATTTAACTTTTCTGAGGCATGCCAATTGATAATGTGTGGGGGGTATATTTTTAATTTAGGGTTGAATTGAATGTAAACCGCTTTGGTATTCGGAACTCGTCGGCTTATTCGTAACTGGTAAAATGAGTACCTAATTTTTTTGGGGGAAAGGATGAACTTTTATCACCATGCACCTGACACCCTTGTACTTCAACAAGTTCTAGCGATTTCGCTACTGACGGAAAATTATCAATATGGACCTTCACACTTCGTATGTGATTAAAATATAAATTTGGGACACAATTATATGCCTTTTATTGAGAAAATATCACCACACAGCACAGTTTAGGTTACAAATGGAAATATCGGCGATTTTTTAAAGATAAAAAACACATACTTTATTAGAATGGGCGATTATTTATAGGACTTCACTGATATCAAAGAAATGTAATGTGGTTTAAATCAACGTGTTAGGGACATTTAGATTTTTTATTTAGACTTGTCACGTGATGTCGACGTCACATGATTTTAGCAATTATACTTGGAGTTTAGAGGTCATTTATAAATTCCAATATTGCAAGGGCATAACCAAGTTAAAAATCTTGGTTTAATTTATAATCCTTTCAACACTGTATGTAGTTTGTGAAAAGTGCTGCGAACCTATATACTAGATTCCTTCTTTAATTGCTAAAATTTAATTTTTTAGACGGCAGATTGAATATTTTGCTGTTATTAATTTATTTGAAAGATTTCATGAGGCTTGAGATAATGTGTAAAAACTTGACAAGATACATCGAGGGTATGCCCTTGCAATAAATCGATTTATCAGGGCCCTTCCATTACTTTTTCAATGAATCTGCATACAAACACACGACAGTGTCACTTGTCTGGAGAATGTACGGACAGTTTATAAATAAAATACTAAAATAGACATCGCATCCAAGTTAATAGCATTTTATTTCACTGCAAATAATATTTTATTTGAGAACAAAAGAAATTTTTCATTGTACAAAATGTGACTTGATCAGATTTAACAAACGACAAAACTGCACGTAATAGTATGTTTTATGTAGTATACAGCTATCCAGCTGTTTGAAATAGTAAATAATTTCATTTTGTGGTATTTTGAAGACCTCATATTATTTGTGACGTCATAGTAAACATTTCCCGCCTCCTTACAGTAACCTTAACTGTGCTGCACAAAAATAGTTTTTTTTTTTCTAAATAACTCAAATTTCACCATGGATCGGACATTATTCACCATGCATCGGACAGACGGTATTTCGACTGATAAAATATCATACCTTTATCACAGTGCTTTAAAATTCTTGATATGGATATACTTTTATATTCTATCTAAGAAATAACCTTCAACTTAAATTGAATTGGCGATATCGTTGCACAAATGTAGAACGATTCAAGATGCCTTACTTTGCCTTAGAAATGCTTTAAAATGCTTGTAATGCTGTAATTTGCGCCTTTTTCTCATGGGTTAAAATAGTCTGGTTTGGAGAAATAAATTGAGTCATATTCTAGACGTCATATATCAATAATTTGTATTTTAACTGAAAATTTAGAGTTTTTATTTTCTATTTCCGCAAAAAACAGCTGTCAGTTGGGTTCTGTATGAAAATGGTAGTGATTACCTTTGCATTGGAAAGTGTCCGATGCATGTTTAATTTGTGTACGATGTACGGAGAAATAAATATACTAGTAAAAACCAGCTCTAAAAGAAATTATGCAAACATTGAAGTGAAATTTCTTAAAAACTTATGTAGAATTACCAATCTTTGACAAAATTTTCCAAAGTCTGAAGCGTTCCGTTGAAGTCAAATTGAAAAGAACGATAACCCTAAAAATTGCATAATCATAAATTTCTGGTTATTCCCCTTTGATGATGTAACATATGACGTAACTTCAAGGCTATTCACGGAGTATTTTTATCACAACATGATAAAAACAATCGGTATCATTTAAAAATTTAAATCTTCATTTTCAAGTTAAAAACAAATAAATACACAGAACTCTTAGGTTGAAAGAGAGCGTATTGCCTAAAGTTGTCCGAAGCAAGGTATATGTCCGATGCATGGTTAACTCACCTATAACGTCTTGTATATTTATAGCACCACCGAATCAGTTTCTTATTCGGAACTGGTCAAATAAATGTAACTAAATGAGTAGAAATTGAATAAGAAGAAGGATATGGAGATACATGTAACGAACAGTATAAGTAGGATTTCAAAAATAATCAAATACGTAGAAAATAAAATACGTAGAAAATCAAATACGTAGAAAATAAAGTAGAAATGAGACCAATGAAAACAACAGCTGTAAGAATATCCAAACAATAATTCTTAAAACTTATAAATTGATGCTATCCACGTACATCTGAAATTCTAACAGATATAATTAAACCTGAATCCATTGCTTTAAACCCCATGGAAAAATTAACAACAAAATAGATGTGAACAAAACAGCAAAGGTTTGAGAAGAGCAAAGAATTGCATGAGCACAAAGAAAGTTTTATATGCCTTTTTCTTCAATAGAAGTGATATCGCTGTCCAGGTTCTTATACCGGAAGATCGTTTAATTTCTGGATTAGTATAGAAAGCCAAAAAAAGAAAGGTTTATGAGAATAAGGAACCAGAATCAGGAATCAACTACATTAATTTTCCTAGTGAAAGACTCCCAAACCGCACGTCCTGAACAGTAAAGGGGTTTTAGGAATAAAAAGAAAGTAAATAATTTTTTCACATAAACAATATTCACAGATCTTTCATCTTTGGGCTTGATTCATTTTCCAGTCATGAAAATGCACTTTTCAAAATCAAGAAGTCTAACAGATCATAAGATCTGCCATATTCTAGTACACGAAGGGTCATGGTTAAAAATGTGTTCTAAAACGATGAGGGTTTAGATATAAATGTTAAAGATAAGTTTAAATTAAAGGAGAAAATTTAAGGAGAATCATATAGACAAAATCATTGAAGTGCCTTAGTTGTTTCTTAGACATATTAGTTTATTTAACATCTCTTGTATTACCTATCTATTGATACCACTATTACTACAAATTATGTACATAATCACAAAAACATAATACATTAAAATGGCATCCCAAAACCAAATAAATTATAGTCAAAAACAATCCCCTTCTTTTACTTGTCAAGGGGAGGGGGTTGGTTTTAATCAGCCAGTTTCAAGACCTTTTTTTATATAAATTACTGAACTTTCTGCATAATTTTGTACCCCCAAACTCTGATATTATAACCTTGATCCTAAATAGGGGCCTCAATAAAAACTTGGGCATATTTGTACCCTTCCTTTTTGTTTGTAAAAGACAAGATATGGTAAAGGCCGATTACAATCTGGGTATGGACAGTTTGCCTCAAAGTTGTTTTATAAAAATGCAGAAACGATTACAACCCAGTTTGACTTAATTTAGGAATAACTGTCTTATTTTTTGGTTTCATGATGTGATAATTTGATTGGCTTGCGTGATAATTTGCATAAATGCCGGAAAATACGCAAGTTATCTCCCAACAAAAGTTATCTTTCTTTGCGTTGACGCCAATGCATCTGTTATAAATACTGATAAAGGTCTTGTATCAATGACCGATAGCTGACCAGTGAGGAGATATAAGCCAAAATTTTAGAGATAAGACAATTTTTTCCCAATAGCATGAAAGAACTCTCCGTTGTGCTAATATTTTCATTCTTTATTATTCCATACATCAACGGTATGATTTTTAAATTTTTTTAATTAAGCATAGTTTAAGAATTGTAAACTCTAAGGTAAAATAATTTTGTTATCTATGGATATTTCAGCGGCATGTACTAACGGATGGGTAAACTATAAGGACAACAAATGCTACTTTTTCAGCAAAACGAAGGAGAAGTGGTATGATGCTTCGGTAGGACATTGTTTTTCTTTCTTTTCAATTGAAATTTCGTTTTTGTGCCAACAATTTTAACATTTTATTTATTGTAACATATTCATGACAATCGTATTGCCTTAAGGTGCTTTGTCAATCATTTGGAAGCAAACTTGCTGAACCAAAGACTCAAGAGGAAGTGACATTCCTAGGCCGTCAAACACACCAGATTGGTAAATTAGCAAAGAATAATCTTAATTAAAGTTCTTAAGTAATTCCAGAGCTAGATTTTAATTTTAGGTAACTTCTTTTTATCAAATTTTACTTCGTTAAATATCACAAATCAATCTGCAAAAACTTCTAGATTCCTTTTGTGAATAAGATAACAATGAAGTAATTTTAATTACGGTTAATGGTATAAAATTTTAGTCAATCTCAAACCTCTATTTACAAAAATTGAAAATAAGCAATGGTAAAAATGAACCTTTATTTACTTGGATGAATTTGAAGTCCACGTCCCACAATCCTGAACGATCGCGAGAAATTCCTACTTATCTGAATTAACAAGCCTAGTACTCGCATTTGTAATGGTTTATTTCTGTATTCAGTCGTTAATCATCTCTACTTAAAAATATTTTTTATCATTTTTGATAACAAGGCAACGGTGGAAATTACTTTATTGGAATACATGACATATTCCTGGAGGGACAGTGGGTGTATGCCGGATCTAGGGAGCCCGTCACAATAACCATGCCGTGGGCCCGGGGAGCCCCTGATAACTTTCACGAGGAAGATTGTGTAGAGATGGGATCCGCCCCAGAGTGGCACGAGCTGTGGGGCGATGTTCCCTGCTCCTCCACTTTATACTACATTTGTGAATACGAACAAAAGTACGTAACATTATCTAATCTGAATGTTGTGTATTACATTCCTGTCAAATACGATCTTTTCTTTATGCCCATTTCAAGTTATCTTTTTTTATTTTGTCTGACCCGGACAATGGCTTAAGGATTTTGGTGACTGGATAAGAAAAGATTGACTGTATCTGAATCTGTGATAGAAGCAAAAGAAAAGATCGTTCACAGTTTTTCTTGTAACAAGGAATTTTAATACTGTTTAGATTTGACGATACTTGTTTGCATTAAATAATTGTGATGCTTTAAAAGGTAGGAAAAATATTGAGAAAATATTGCTGAGGTATTTAATTCGAATTAGGATATATTTACAACGTATAATCAACTAACAATAGTTACTTCCTTTCTTGTAACAAGGAATCTTAATACTGTTTAGATTTGACGATACTTGTTTGCGTTAAATAATTGTGATACTTTAAAAGGTAGAAAAAATATTGAGAAAATATTGCTGAGGTATTTAATTCGAATTAGGATATATTTACAACGTATAATCAACTAACAATAGTTACTTCCTTTCTTGTAACAAGGAATCTTAACACTGTTTAGATTTGACGATACTTGTTTGCGTTAAATAATTGTGATACTTTAAAAGGTAGAAAAAATATTGAGAAAATATTGCTGAGGTATTTAATTCGAATTAGGATATATTTACAACGTATAATCAACTAACAATAGTTACTTCCTTTCTTGTAACACGGAATCTTAATACTGTTTAGATTTGACGATACTTGTTTGCATTAAATAATTGTGATACTTTCAAAGGTAGCAAAAATATTGAGAAAATATTGCTGAGGTATTTAATTCGAATTAGGATATATTTACAACGTATAATCAACTAACAATAGTTACTTCCTTTCTTGTAACAAGGAATTTTAATACTGTTTAGATTTGACGATACTTGTTTGCGTTAAATAATTGTGATACTTTAAAAGGTAGAAAAAATATATAGAAAATATTGCTGAGGTATTTAATTCGAATTAGGATATATTTACAACGTATAATCAACTAACAATAGTTACTTCCTTTCTTGTAACAAGGAATCTTAATACTGTTTAGATTTGACGATACTTGTTTGCGTTAAATAATTGTGATACTTTAAAAGGTAGAAAAAATATTGAGAAAATATTGCTGAGGTATTTAACTCGAATTAGGATATATTTACAACGTATAATCAACTAACAATAGTTACTTCCTTTCTTGTAACAAGGAATCTTAACACTGTTTAATCAATTTGACGATACTTGTTTGCGTTAAATAATTGTGATACTTTAAAAGGTAGAAAAAATATTGAGAAAATATTGCTGAGGTATTTAATTCGAATTAGGATATATTTACAACGTATAATCAACTAACAATAGTTACTTCCTTTCTTGTAACAAGGAATCTTAATACTGTTTAGATTTGACGATACTTGTTTGCGTTAAATAATTATTATACTTTAAAAGGTAGGAAAAATATATAGAAAATATTGCTGAGGTATTTAATTCGAATTAGGATATATTTACAACGTATAATCAATTAACAATAGTTACTTCCTTTCTTGTAACAAGGAATCTTAATACTGTTTAGATTTGACGATACTTGTTTGCGTTAAATAATTGTGATACTTTAAAAGGTAGAAAAAATATTGAGAAAATATTGCTGAGGTATTTAATTCGAATTAGGATATATTTACAACGTATAATCAACTAACAATAGTTACTTCATTTCTTGTAATATTTGAAGGAATAATGATTTAAACTGTTTAGATTTTACGATACTTGTTTGCGTTAAATAATTGTTACTTTAAAAGGTAGAAAAAATATTGAGAAAATATTGCAAGGTATTTAATTCGAATTAGGATATATTTACAATCAAATGTATAATCAACTAACAATAGTTACTTCCTTTCTTGTAACACGGATATTATTTAATACTGTTTAGATTTGACGATACTTGTTTGCATTAAATAATTGTGATACTTTCAAAGGTAGCAAAAATATTGAGAAAATATTGCTGAGGTATTTAATTCGAATTAGGATATATTTACAACGTATAATCAACTTACAATAGTTACTTCCTTTCTTGTAACAAGGAATCTTAATACTGTTTAGATTTGACGATACTTGTTTGCGTTAAATAATTGTGATACTTTAAAAGGTAGAAAAAATATTGAGAAAATATTGCTGATATTTAATTCGAATTATTTTAAAGATATATTTAACGTATAATCAACTAACAATAGTTATTTTTCTTGTAAAAAGATGATATATTAATACTGTTTAGATTTGACGATACTTGTTTGCGTTAAATAATTGTGATACTTTAAAAGGTAGAAAAAATATTGAGAAAATATTGCTGAGGTATTTAATTCGAATTAGGATATATATACAATTGTATAATCAACTAACAATAGTTACTTTCCTTTCTTGTAACAAGGAATCTTTACTGTTTAGATTTGACGATACTTGTTTGCGTTAAATAATTGTGATACTTTAAAAGGTAGAAAAAAAGCTACAAAATATTGACCATCTGCCTAGACTTTCCCCGTTAACCGAATACATTGGGGTTAATAAACACATTTTCCTCTATATATTGCTGAGGTATTTAATTCGAATTAGGATATATTTACAACGTATAATCAACTAACAATAGTTACTTCCTTTCTTGTAACACGGAATCTTAATACTGTTTAGATTTGACGATACTTATTTGCATTAAATAATTGTGATACTTTCAAAGGTAGCAAAAATATTGAGAAAATATTGCTGAGGTATTTAATTCGAATTAGGATATATTTACAACGTATAATCAACTAACAATAGTTACTTCCTTTCTTGTAACAAGGAATCTTAATACTGTTTAGATTTGACGATACTTGTTTGCATTAAATAATTGTGATACTTTAAAAGGTAGAAAAAATATTGAGAAAATATTGCTGAGGTATTTAATTCGAATTAGGATATATTTACAACGTATAATCAACTAACAATAGTTACTTCCTTTCTTGTAACAAGGAATCTTAATACTGTTTAGATTTGACGATACTTGTTTGCATTAAATAATTGTGATACTTTAAAAGGTAGGAAAAATATTGAGAAATATTGCTGAGCTATTTAATTCGAATAAGGATATATTTACAACGTATAATCAACTAACAATAGTTACTTCCATTCATATGTTGACACTATATAACCGAAAGATCTTAAAATGCACAATACATGTACCACAGGGTCTGAAAATCTGTCGCATGTTTGAATATTCTATTAGAAAACAAAACACGTTAATGGTAACCTAACAACAAAACCTTATGATAAACATGATGAATTAACTTTTTAATTGTCTACGTATGCAACATCAAATCCTTATCATCTTCAAATTGGTTATAAATCTCTCAGTCAATTCGATACGCAAGAGAATGTTCTCTGAACGAATAATTTTAAAAACCGGCTCTTGGCAAACAAGTTGATAAAAACAAGCATCGTTTTAAATAATTATTTCGCAAGGTATTTGTTGGTACAATGACCTTTTCAGCAAAAACACCATTGAATCAAATGCTGAGTTGCGTTTTTCAAACTAAGTGTTGGGCCATTATTAACACTTAGAATTGTCTACTGTACTTTCCCTCTTTGTCAATCATGCAACAAATATACAGTGGGTCTGACAGTCGACAGGGATGCTCACTCCTTTATGGCACATGGTCCCACCTCCGATGTTTTTGGAGAACCGTAGTTGCTCCGCTCCGGATTAAAATTGTTTCGACTAATTCCTCATTTGTTTTATCCCAAATGAATGAATGTGCTAAATATTGTTTTTAAATGAAAAATGATTTTATTACAGTTATGAATATCAGCAAGGTCAGGTCATTGGATGAAAGAAATGATGATGTCTACGCAGGGATTTGCAGAACACTGTATATACTGTATTCTTTTATTCAGCTAATTAAAACATATACTTTTCTTCAACATATGTATTTATTTTTCAAAATTAATCAATATCATTTATGGTTTATACTACAACAAAGTATGAATCATTATAATCATCTTATTTCTAAACCAATTGTCTTACGAAAGTCAGTGCAAATATTGAATCTGATACATAGAATATATTATATTAATAACTCCTGCAAATTAGATGAGAACTTATCACAATTTAATCTTTTTTTCTTAAATAGGTAGTTTATATACAGCAGGTATACCATAAAATGTCCTATAATTTCTATGATTTTATATACAGCAAAACTCGTTTAGTACGAACACGGATATTACGAATTTACGGATATAGCGAAGTCAATTTGGATCCCCAGCTAAATAAATTTAATTAATTTCTTATACGGATATTACGAATTACAGATATAGCGAAGTTATTTCATAGGTCCCAGTGACTTCGTTATAACCAAGCTTTACTGTACATGTATAATCTGAACAAGTTATGTGTCATTATTTAGTCCATTTGCTGATGTAACTTGTCCAGATTTCTGGACCTCTTATGGGACAATGGACCAGCTGTGCAAAAATGGTTACAAATTAATGCTGCATTCGACATCTCTCTTTATGTGGGAATTCGATCTGAATGAATATATTAAATAAATATAACAGCAAAAAGATTCAAATTATTATAACCAAAGCTCATGAAAATAAAAACCACATTAAAGATCTGAAACCTGGCTGGAGATATGTGCTCAATATCAATCAAAGTTTAACATAAAGATATATTTCAACTGATCCGCTTTAAAGAAGCTACAGAAAACGTTGTATTTGTGAAAGCAACTAAATAATACATTTTGTTAATAAAATGCTACCATGCATCTAATTTGCCCGCGTGGCGCAGTGTTTAAAGCGCTTACGCCAGTCGACAAAAAAGACTTAAAAAGTCAAACAGCAAAATTGTATTCATAAACATGATGACGTCACCTTTTCTTTCCTGAATTTCTCATACTTATGTATCACGATGCTCTTTTATCTACGTTCGAGGTCTATGTCCGCCTCCCAGTTGCCTGATTGAATACGCAATATCATGTTTATTTTGTAAATTCTTGAACGAGACACTATGAGAAAGAGCTTAAATGTGATTAATGTTTGCTGATTTACAGTACTTATGTCTATGAAAATAAGAGTTATTTTGCTATGTTAACCTTTAAGCACGTGTGAGTGTGAAAAAAGTGGTAAAAATATTTCAAGCAAATATGACTTACAATACAAAGACTTCGTAAAGTCATTTTCTAAATCATGCCGATATAGTGCTCTGAATAGGCATCATGAAGAGAAGATATAGCTAAGAAAGCATTGCCCATTGCTATGTAAACTAACGTTGTTTTTTGAGATAAGAAATATTGGTTTCGCTGTATTCATTCTAATTGGGCATCCTGATTGATGTTTAGTTTATCAAAGATACTTGATTAGATAATTATTTTCTCACTGCTATGTTGAATACTGATTACAGATTATAACCAACATTGTTCTCATTTGGAGAAGATGTTTAAGACGAATTCCACTTAGTATTGTGATGGGTTTCGACAAAGATTTATCATAAGATACAAGAAATGTCAGTTTCCAAATTCATGAGAGATAAAAGACCTAACTAGACAATGTAAAGTTGTTAAATCAAAGCAACTGGGAAACATTGTTTATTTGCATATTGCTACATATATAAGGGGAATTGACAATCGAAAAACTGAAGATATTAAGATAATCAAAATTATGTTATGCTACGATTTAAATAAACGTTCTTTTGTAGTAAAACATCCAAATCTGAGACAGATATGGTAGACTCTGTCGTATCTGTTATTTTGAGTTCATAGGAATTAAGAAATAGGCCACTTTTGATATGGCTTTTACAAAAATTGTATAATAATTTCTATTCTTCCTTAAAAAATGGCAAGTCCTGACATGTAGTCACCATACAAGCTGTTTTACATTTGTATTGTGACCATTTTTTTGTTTGTCCCCTTTTTACTTCTTCAATTAAAACAGAAAAATTAATATGAAACTTTGAAAACATTAGCCAATATTTATAAAATAGTAGAACTTAATTTAATCTAAAACCTTTTAAGTTGGGAGATACCATAATTTGCCCCAAGAAACTTGATTTATTGGCAAAACACATTTCTTTGACATCTTTCTGGGACGCAATGGCGAGGATTTCAGATCTAGTAAATTTATATGTAACCTTGTTGTGTTTAAACGGTGATAGTGCAAGTATAGAAAGATAACAACGATAAAAAGAAATGGATATAAAGGACTTTATTGCGATTTTTATTTTTCTTCCTGCCTTTCTTGAAGCACAACAAGGTAACTGAAACTTTTAGATGGATACATTGATTTTTTTTAACTTCAAAACGTTCCTCTACCAAATAAATGTTTAAAATTAAAGTAAATGAAAATTTTATCTACTAAATATAATCATATCAATGTCTGTCATTATGTAGGTGTGAAGTTCAACGTATTATGCAGTTACACACATTTAGTAACTTAATAGCTACACGTTATAATATTCAGGCACTCGTTGCGCCAATGGCTGGATACAACACCATGACAAATGCTATTTCTTCAGTAAAGTAAAGGAACCATGGTTTGCGGCATCTGTAAGTACTTTTGACTGAAACGCTGTATTATTTATATTTGGAGAAATAATAATTCATTTACAATAAGTCAAAAAATACAATTGTCAGACAGGCTTTGGGCTAAGCTAAGAGAAAATGGATTTCAGAATTTGTATATCATGTTCTATTCATCATTGTATAAAACATGTTTTTCAGGCCCTTTGCGTTGCTTATGGTGCCCGCTTAGCTGAGCCAGTGACACAGGAAGAGGTGACATTTCTATCCAGAGAAACAATTCAAATTGGTAGGTAGATTCAAACAGTGGTTCATATTGAACAATACCTGCCCGTATTGTGATTCGGATGTAGAGTTACACATTAATATTTACATTTCCAATGTCTTTGTCCGGGATAAAATTACAAGTACCGGTAGTAAAAATACTTTAATTCTACATAAATATACTGTTTCATTAATAGGCGCAATTAAAAAATTCACGTGCGGGGCGACAAAAATAGAGACAGGAGCGTTGATTGTCGTCTAATAGATTTTAAAGACAAGATATTTCAACAGTCCCCGCCTATTAGATTGATATGCATATTAGACTTCCCACCTTTCACTTAGCGATATTAACATTCAAGTGTAATTATCAAGAAATTAACTCACCTAACTTTCAAAGGTTTATCACATGAAAAACAATTAGAAATGCTAATATTATCACTGAAACATAGGAAATGGCGGAGATTACTATTTAGGCGTGACAGATGCTTTCTTGGAAGGCGAGTGGGTCTACTCCTCCAGGAAGTCCCCTGTGTTAGTACACATGCCCTGGGTAGGAGGGGGACCAGACAACTACCATGAAGAGGACTGTGCTGCTATTGATTCAAGCACTACTCATCACGGACAGTGGACCGATGTTCCTTGTGATTTACCGCTTTACTTCATCTGTGAATATAGTTTAGAGTACGACTTCTAATTTTTTTCAGATATTTAAACGATAAAAATTGCATTGCAGTAAAATCTGAGGATAAAAACATGATAAGGGAACATTATTTTCATATTCTTAGATAACATTCAAATAATAATATCAGTATATAAATACAATAGTTGTCATGCATACTAATTGTGAGGTATTTAATTCTTAATGAATGTATATGCATCCTTGCTATGCCAAGTGCCCTGAGTCAAGATGTTGTCATGGGATCCCTTGCTAATTTCGTTCAATAGTTTATGGGCTGTCTGTAGCGACGCCTTTATTTCGGAAAAAATAACGCATCCTGATGTTTTTTTGTATCTCAACCAATCAAATTCTGCTATTTTATATGATGAATTGACATATAAACTGAATCCTTTTCGCTTACATTATCTACCTACATGTATGTATTAAGCTTTAATGTGATTGATGCTTCTCAATGAGAGAGGCAAGCCCTAAAATATTGAATGAACTTGGACAGTGGTCTCACGGCAATGAGTTGATTTAGGATTCCTAACATTGCAAGGAACATGTGAAAGGCAAGGACTTATAACATGTATTATTTTGATTTATATTCAGCACAGAGAATGACAAACTCTTAATGATTACTCCATTAGTTAATTTAGACAATATTTCTTCGATAAAATATATTCTGGAAAAATTAACAATACATACATTAAATATCCCATATTGGTTGATTATTTATCAAATTTGCAAATTATTTTTAATTAGGGTTTATAAAGTCAAAACCGCGGTTTTCGTAGCAAGCAGAAAGAAATCTTTTATGCAGGTAGCTTTGAAAATAAAATGTATTGATTTTTTTCAGTATTGAACCGAACATCATTGGTTAGTCGAGTGCTGATTTGATGCTACAACGATAGATAAAACGGATTTAACTGGTATTTATTATAACGATGAATAAATTACCTGGAACAATCAGTTCTTTCTTGAATCAATTCAGCATGAGTGTAAAGGTTACAAAAGATCTTTCCCATCATTCAAAATATCTTTATTATGCTACTGCAGAAATATTTTAATCCAAACGGCTATGACAATAAAAAATACTTTCCAATTTTGTATCAAAAAGGCTTTACAATTCTGCATCATAACTTGTGGTTATCTTAAATTTTGTAATTAAGTTCACAGGTCATAAAACATCTTACAATTGACTAAAATTTGCATCTTGGTCAGTTTAAAAAAAACATTGTTAGAAATGATTGTGAACACTTAGGATGACTGTGTAATAATGGAAGTTATGTAAATGTAAAAGGAATTTGGAAAATTAATTCTCCTAACCTCCTAAGAAATGTCATTCATTAGAATCAACTGCTCGAAACGTTAAGATAACAAATAGAAAACAAACTTTAAAAAATTTAAACACTACACATCGAAAGCAGATGTAGAGCAATTTCGGATTCTAAATTACCAAAGGTTGGATCAGATGAGATGGAGGAATAAGAATCCCCGGCCGACCGGCCACACCAACCGTGTGCTATTAATCATGATTAGGAAAATGGAAAAAAAACCTTTTGACAATTAAGTGTGTTAAAATAATGGCATAACAGCTACATGCAGTATGAAGCTTAAGACGTTAGTCATTTTCACTGAATAATACATTTTATTATATGATTGAATAATTTCCAACTCTCTGATTGGCTGAGATCCAACTATGTTAGAAAAATACTACGTTGTATTGACCTGCACGTGACGTTCCAGGTCAATACAAGGATTTATTTCCTTACATTGATCTAAAAATAAATTGGGAAATTCCAAATTGATACAAATTGTGTTGGAAAGCTATTTATATGACTATGATTTTTTTCATGTCAACAAAACATAAGCGGATTTATATTTATGAGTGAGGGTGGCAAGAGGGGATGCAGGGTCCCCCCACCAACACTTACTGAACAACTTTTTTTTTTTTAACTTTTTGGCAGTCACTTTTCCCTTATAATACTCCTTCCTTTCAAAATATATTCTATAAAAAAGACTGACATTATATAATTTTCATGGCAAATAAAATTGATAAAAAAAGATCAAATTGATACGACTGGTAAGGTTTATTCACAGTTTAATTCTGCTTCTCTCTTGTATTTGGCTAGGACTTAATAAAATGCAAACAAGTAATGAGCTGTATCATTTTATCAGTGAATTATATAATAAAACATTTATTGCTGCTTTTTCGGTCTTTTCCATAGAATTTTCAAAATAATGACTTACAAACGGTGAAATAATGTGACACTTCCAACTAATATTCATATTTTTTTTATCATAGAGAGACATTGAAGAAAAACTAGTCAAGACACTTATGATCTTTAAAAGCGTTTAATACATGTATGTAGCATATATTTTCTATTTTTGGTAGCAAAAAAGAACGATCAATGATTTTAAAGAATATCAAACTGTTAAATATCAGATATTGAAATTGTTGTTTATGACGTCTCTGGTACGGAATCAAGTTTTGGTTTCCATGGAGATTCACTTTTAGAGCTCCTTGCTGAACTCAATATTGAACTAGAAAACATTCTGGAAGAAGTCGACTTCCTTCCGTCTACCCAGAAGGATTGTTGTCTGAAAAGATGCATTTAAAACTGATCTGAATAGAAGGAGAGGAAGGAAGAGAATATACAGACTATAGTAAGAGAAGCCCACGATCTACCATTCCTTAAACTCCAAACATCGCCATTAAGAGTTTTGGAAGATTGGGCTTTCTTGCACATTTGACAGGTAATATACGTGTACAAATAATGACAACAGTTTTTACAGCCACCGTACCAAAATCCGTCTTCTTTGTGTTCATCACCGTCTACCCAGAAGGATTGTTGTCTGAAAAGATGCATTTAAAACTGATCTGAATAGAAGGGGAGGAAGGAAGAGAATATACAGACTATAGTAAGATCATATATATTTCGAAAAAGATTGATATTTTAATGAAGACAATTTAGTATTTTCTGTTTATTATATTCAATCTAACGGATCTATACAACTATTAATTATACATAATTTTACAGAGGTTGTGATTGTTTTGAATGTAATTGATATATCTTTACTTGCAGCCTTTTACACAGTGACATCGCTTTATAATGTACCAAGTACCTAGACTGGCAATGGAAAGGATCAACAACAAAAAGGGAATCAGCACAAGAACTGGCACTGAAACACATAAATTTTAACTTGTCTATTTTGTCAGTTTCACATAATCTGTGGAAACAACTTTATTCTATTAAAATTTCCATGTAAACTAATAATTTGTAACTATTGTGAGAAGGAAACAGTACAAGTCGAGCATATTGATGAACAAATCTGATTCTCTAAGCCATATTTCTCTTTGAAAAAAAATATTATGTTCTTTTTTCCCCCTTTTTTTCTAATTTTTTCTGTTTTCAATTTTCAATTTTACAAAGACCTTCGTCACGGTAGCAACTTAGAAAAAAGAGTGCTTAATAACCACACCCCAGTCTTCTATAATACAAGCAAAATTTTATAATAATGATTTCATTTATTGTGCAACTGTTTCAGTCATATATTCACGAACCTGAGATCTGAGAAGTAGACTCGGCTGTTGTTGTGATAATGGTGGTTGTTGTCACTTGTGTACATTTTGGGGTCGTTCCGTTCCAGGCCCCTGAAGCTCCATCACACCATCTGATCTGATTCCCGTCCAGTTCATACCCCATCTTACAGTAATAAGCCACGTAATCCCCGCTCTGGTAGGTCACTTTTGCTATCACGTAAAATCCATTAGAAACCGATGTTGGAGAAGAGCAGGTAAGCGCCATCTTTGTTTTTTAAAAACTTAAAATTTAAATGTTGTTATATCTCATTGAGCCATTGTCGTATTATTTAATTATGAGTAGCTAACACATTTTGATGTTATCTCTTAGAGAATTAATTAAATGGTTGATTCGCACAAACAATGAATTCTGTGTATGTCAATCAATTTCATGACCCTGATCATGTAAGTGCTTCTTTTCAACTGTTTCATACTCGCTACATTGCGATTGTATTTACAACGCTTATATTTACAATGCCATCAATTAATGAAACTTGTTAAATTATTTAGGATATTAGTGCTGGAAAATCCCAACTTTATAAAAATACAGATTATGGAATTGGACCCTGTATTTTGGTAGAAACTATGAAGCTTCCTGTTCCATATCTTTCCACAACTCATTTTCAAAGGCATATTTAACAGTGTTTGTGTTTTTGCAGCAAAAATTTTTAAACAGAATCATTCAAATTGATGCAAAAGGCATAATGTACGGAAAATGTTGAATCAAGGTAGCAAAAGGGATATTGTTCAAATCAATTCTGTCCATAGTGTGTTTATTCTTTGAGAACTGATTCTGATTGTTACAAATAAATGTAAGGCACACAGATACAAAAATACCACTCTCTACCATCGGTCATACAATCACCTCTATCGGTGGATAATAACATCAAGAAACTATAAGGAAACAAGTAAATAATGTTTTTGACAAGTATGAATTCATTATGATAAGACAATTGCTGCAATATTGTACCTTAAAATATCTAAAGCTATTGATTTTTTAAAAAAAGGATATAATTAGTTTTTCTTTTCAAAAACCCAATCATAAACCCAATACAGAGATATATAACATAGAAACAAATAAGCTAATAGATTAAATATTAGTTTTTGAATTTCTTTGATGGCAAATGTAAAATTTAAAAAAGAAATACCGTATAAGCAGAATTTCTAGCAAGGATTTAATTTAGACAATATTTACGAGGGTGTTGAGATCCCTTAAATTGAATATCGCTATCAATTAATTGCATTTTATTTGTAATAGCTTCTTTATTGAGAATTCTTAAATATATAGAAAAAAAAAACATTTTGCTTAAAATAAAAAATCAATTTTTAAGGACAAATCGCTATATTTGCCTCACTGAAATTTCCACCTATACGGTATTTGTTGTTTAGGTTTATGAAGGATAATTAGACATTATTGCATGTTGAATATGGATCTATTTACTTAAGAAATAAAGTCCGCGTTTTCGTGAATGTTGCAGGATAACCTCGACCTCGGAGGTTATCCTGCAACATTCACGACAACAAGGACTTTATTTCTATTCTACAAAGCTTAAGATCATGAAGATCGCTAAATTACGGCTGATCGTTTCTTCTATAGAGAAACGAATTATATCACCATGTCTCGATTTGGCTGTTCCATTCAACACCAAAGGGAAAATTTGTTTGCTTACCTGTGTATGGAATGCAGACAATTTGAGCTTTTGTTGCAATAATAATAGCCTTTTTAGATTTCAAATTTATTCATTATATGTATTGATTAATTTTAATGAAGATACAATAACAAAATCATGTTCCCGTTTTTACTAAAATCACGTTATTTAAATGTGTAGGGAGGTCCGTGGAATAGCCCGCTTGGCTATAAAAACCGACATTCATCAGCAACTTGATGCAATGTACAGTGTTCAGACTGCAAAAGACGGCACATCGATGTGGTCTAAACAAGTATTTCGTTTTAGAGTCAAATATTAATTTCAACTGTACAGGTTTTATAAGTGTTCCTAATCTGATAATTTTTTGATGACGTTCGTGATTTATTGGAGAATAATGTCCGCGGCTTTTCTTTGAAGTCGGCAATAACCGTGGTAGAATTATCTGTATTAGTTATCCTTATGTTGGTAAATAGCCAATTTTTGAATAATGTTAACAATCCTGTTTCAGCACAAAATCAGTTTATAACAATAATTGACGAAATGATTATTCATAACCCATCCCTGAAAGGAGGAAACGTAACCGTTAGTTCCTTAATTACCAGTACATGTATGCTTTCGAACTGACATCATTATCGTGCAGTTTCGAGTCATCAGGACTGGAATTTTTATTCAGTTTGTGCTTTGATTATTTGCACGAATATCATGTTTATGAGGTTTCCAGTAATTTTTCAGTTCCTTCGCCACTCTCTTCGAAGACACAACTTCATGTAACTTTAAACGCACTGGACTCTCTGTCTGCATACTCATAGATTTCATACTGGGTACCGGAGACTGTTCAGGGGATTGAGGGGGGAATTCAGGGGCAGGTTGAGAAGTAATGTTATTGCTAGGAAAACATCTACGACATCCCAGAGTGCAACAGTGAAGACAACAAATATAGCAACATCCGGTCTCTACTTCCTCTTCATCGTCCCTTACACGTGTTTTCTGCCTAAGTAAAGAAAAAATAATTAAAAAAAATCGTTAGTAATATTTCATTGCTTTTTTTTTAGAAATTTTATTTCAAATGACTTTTCAAATTATTTTGCTCAATAAGTTTATTTATATAATTAATTAAAAAGGGAATAATTAAACTAGATTTAAAGGATCTTTTAATGTAGAGACTTTGGGATTCAAACAATGCAAAGATTATAATTTCATTTCTTAGTATTGGTCAAAAAGTCTATTCTTACCTACATAGTATATGGCAATATTTGAGAATAACCATGGCAACAATACAAACAAAAACTACAATTAGGAACGTGGAGAGACCGATGGACATGTAAAGCCACTCTGACGAAAAAATATTATACTGTAATATGGCATTATATAAAATTATTTAGATATATTTTTGCATTTTTTCTGTTCTTAAGTAAAAAATTAAATATTTTTTGTGTAATTTTTTAATATCCAAGTTAATATCCTTCTACATTTCACATAAAGTACTTATCCATGCTTGTTCCTTCTACAGTCTTTCAATTACATAATTCATAACATTGAAATTTTACTGATACCACTTTACCATTGACTGGCGCCGCTGTGGTTGTCGTGATAGTGGTAGTGGTGGCAGTACAGGTGGGGGCTTTCCCCGTCCAGTTTCCGGTATCCCCGTCACACTCTCTGATGGGATTCCCTTGTAAGAAATACGAATACTCACAATAATAGTACACCCGGTCTCCATCTACGTAATAAGGTTTAGCGATCACAAAATATCCATTGCTTGCAGAGCTAGGGTCCGAACAGTTATAGGCAGACATAGTAGGCAATGTTCAGTTAATAAGGAACATTATTTCGAAATCGCTAAAAAGTTAATAACAGAATATAAACTATGAGTACTTGACAGCAATTTGTTTCTTTTTAAATGGTTTCATAAGCTGTAAAACGTGTACATTATGACAATGCATTAAAGACTTGTGATCTATATTTTAAATGTATAACGCTGCATATGGTCAATTAAAGTTGATGAATGCAATGATTAATGCTTGGGTTAATTAACCCTGTAGTATTTAAAAGGTAATTTGTGATAATAATTTACGCCATCATAATCTGATGAAGGATATGGAGATAACGAACAGTATTCAATCTCAAAGTCCATGAAATAATACAAAATAGGAACAGAGCACACACGGACCTCCGAAACATCAGAGGTGGGATCAGGTGCCATGGAGGAGTGAGCATCCTCTGCTTTCCGGTCACACCCGCCGTGTGCTCCTTGTCATGATCGGAAAATAACGGAAAATTCCGTCGTCAATTCAGTGTATAATAATGGACTAACAATTAGTATGAAAAACGTCAGTCAGCATTTGTCTCAATGATAAAATGTATTTGCTGACAAGGTCATTGTATCGACCATAGAATTTAAGAAATGATGACTTTAAACGGGACTGTTAATATTCTTGTTTCATCAACTTGTTTGTCAATAATTTACCTCGTTTTAGAAATTGTTCATACGTAGAGCATGCTCTTGCGTATCGAATCAACTGAGATATAAACACTCCGTATGTAGGCCATGAGGGTATATTGCTGCATAAGTAAGGGAAGTTGACGATAGAAAAGTTAAAGTCATCACCTTTATCATATAGCTTGGTTGTTAGATTACCATTAACGACTTTTTCAAGTAAAATATCCAGGTATGAAACAGATGTGCCAGACTCTGTGGTATCTTTTATCTCAAGCTCACCGGGATATATCGTATCGACGTAGGAATGGAAATGACCATTGTTAATTGACAATACGTCGTCGATATATCTAAATGTCGAGTTGAAGGCCACAGCAAGTGTTTTCTTCTTTTCACGCATAAAATTTTGCACAAATTCTGCTTCATATGAATATAAAGATAGGTCCGCTAATAACGGAGCGCAATTGGTACCCACTGGAATTCCAGTATATTAATGGAATACTTGGTGTCCAATCTGATAGTAGAGAGAGAGAGAGAGAGAGAGAGAGAGAGAGAGAGAGAGAGAGAGAGAGAGAGAGAGAGAGAGAGAGAGAAGATTTTCAGATCTTCTGCGTATTAATTCTTTCAATATTAGAATATTTAAAATAATCCGTACCAGAAATACCATTTAAAATTTTTATTTTCATGTATAAAGAAGGGGTGGATGAAAAAAGGGTTAAATGCATTTGTAAAATGTTCAAAATGCATATTTTACGTTCACGGTAGCTAGCGCTCGCTCCATAATCGGAAGAACATGTATTCCAACCACGACTGCGAATGAACTGACTTACCAGGTAAGTCGTTAAAATAGGTGTCAACTGTTTCTTTGCAATGTGCTCAGCACATTGAAGTTGCGACTGTGAGACCTTAAAACCCGAGACCCAGTGTAACGGTTTGACGTTGACACGGTAAAAAGAAACACTCACTGATGAATGGTCCTGAGTGCCGAGTATAGGGCTAAATTAGAACTTCTCCGGTATATCCTGATCTCAGCAACTGAGTGCAAAGAATTCTTGATTTGGAGGTAAAATTGCACTCGAAAAATCCAATTGTATTTTATAATCCTAGTTTAAAATCTTATTTTAAGTAATATATAGTATATTACGCTCATTATTAAATCACTCTAAAATGTCAAAAGACATTTTCAAAACAGAACGTAGACATATTAAATTGATTGTGTACAATAAACAAAGATTTAAGATGAGACTCTATACTGATGAGCCATATAATTATTATACTAGTATATCAAATTAAATTAACAAAATGCAAGGATGTTTCTGTAACAATTACACTAAATAGATGAGTGCTATTATTGAAATTTACACAGTGAAGTCTCAGGTATCAGAATTGGTCCATTATTGAAGAGTCTCTCAAAAAACGTGTTAACGTAATCCATAAGTAATCGGTCGATTCTACAGCAACATAAACCCCGGCAAAACTAACGAGGAGACGTGTAGAAGTGCCATTTTGTTTGTTGATACGTGAACTTGGAGTTTTTCAAGGTTGTTGGGGACAAACGTGTTAATAAAATGTCTGCTATATTTTCTCTCCGCGTGTTATCTCTCTGACGGGATTACAAATAACATAATAACAGGTAAAAGAGACATGTTAAGAGCAGGACACACAAATTGAGGCAAACACTGCACATTAAAGATATTCTTTTGAAGTGACTTGTTTAACTTTTATGCTAAAGAAAATCAAAGTTTATAGAGTACTACACGGGGCTCGAGAACGTTGCTTTTTCCTCATAATTTACTTGTATTCTTAATGCTTATGGTACTTTACTGTCAAATTCAAATATTCAACCATGCGGTATGTTTATTCAAGTAAACGTTATAAAAGATGAAAACTAGACCCGCGAATAAAACCAGTTCTTTAAATTACTTTTGAATACAGGTCATCATATTAATTATATATTGACCTTTTTGCTTACTTAAACAGTTTAGTTCCTGCTATCAAAACTATTGAGAATTTTTATCAAGTATAAATCTAGAAACTACACACATACTTTAATAAAAAATCAAAACAAAAAGTTGGGTTCAGTGCTCTTCTTTTAGCACTACGGAGCAATTAACTTGACCTTTCTACACCCAAAATATGTAATTTTTCTGGTGTTAAAATCTTAAAAAGCAAAATTCATTTAAAAGTAAGGATATTTTCCTGAATTTAAGCAGAGTTAATATTATCTTATATATTCAGAAAATGAAATAAAGTTTCCGGGACTGTGATGTTATTTTTATATATATATATATATATATATATATATATATATATATATATATATATATATATATATATATATATATATATATATATATATATATATATATATATATAAAAAGCACTAAAAAACCAACAACACTGTATATCCTAAATGTCGGATCTACCAAGTAGATACAAGGTCACGGATGGAAATTTATATAAAGCACTAAAAATGACCAACGATATACGAACAATAAAAATTGTCAAATTTTCCCCTGTCCCTTCCTCAGGACAAAGAAAAAAGTTAAAAAGTCATAAGAATATATAAAAAGAGAAACAAAAACAACTAGCACTACTACTAAACTACTAAACACTAGATATTTACATACTTAATTACATGATGAATTGGAAATTTTTAAAAACACTAATAAAGAAAGAAATCCGGACCGCTATGAAATGCGTCCGGTCTAATACCGGGCGAAGTGCGATTTACATAATTGAACGAATTAATTATGCTAATTAATTACGACAATCAGTAAATCGTACATTGTTTCATTCTCTCAAAATGGCGTAACTTTACTTAATAAAGAATAATCGAAGAAAAATAATATAGCAGGGATATTTAAACATATGAATTATGATCAATTATAAATTTTGAAATATTTAAGGACTTATTACCGGGAAAAAATAATTAACAAAGGTGTAAGCAATACATAGTTATGAGAGTTTTCGAGAGTTGGTGACGCAAATTAACTGTAGAGTTTACACTAAATTGAGAGAATAATTTGTTTAGTATCATCAGGAATTGGGTCTAGTTTACGTTCATTCTGGTAAAAATTCAGTTTGTTAATTTAGGGCGGAATGACTTCAATCTGTCATCCAGAACTTTTCTTTGCTTTTTCTTGAGCATCTGTCCATCTTGGGTTATGGTCAATCACCACTACTGTCATGAAAATTTGTGACCCTCAAGGTTGAAATGTTCCCCAACGGGTTCATTGAGTTTTTTGGTCCTAAAAACGGTGGTTATTGACTCTCCTGCTATTTCCTGTTTCACCAATATACTGTTTGGAGCAAACTTTGCAACTGATGAGATAAATGCAGTTGTCAGTATGACAGGACAAATTCCCTAGTATTTTGTAGCTGCGGCCTGTAATAGGGCTGTTAAAACTGTCTGTGTCAGTGCTGTGCTTGCAAAGAATACATCTTCTGTCAGAGCAAGTTTTAAAGCCCCCGTTAGGTAATGGGTTGTCCATCTGGTTACCACCATGTCCTTTAGGTTCCTTGGGCGTCTGTATGCAGCCAATAAATAAAAGACCTCTGCCATTCGTTTGTTTGAATGGAGAAAATATCTTTTGAAGGATACCGCTAAGGTTCTTAAGGACGGGATGGTATGTGGTTACCAGTTAAGGGACCCTGCCGCTATTGTCTTTCTCCTTGTAGCGTAATAGGTTTTGCCTGTCATGTCCCGCCATCTCATCAATAGCTGTTTGTACGGTGCTAAAATAATTTGTAGCCTCTTTTGCATAAGTGGGACTTAAGAAGACCACTTTGCTCCTGATATAAGGCAGGGGACAAAAATTTTGGTAATAGACTCCCTTAAAAGTGTGTGGGGGATGTTGGGCATAAGATATAGGTGGGAGTCTGTTTTTTGGTGTGGAGATGAATTTATTTCACCATCAATCAGGGTAGATGTAGTATCTAGGAATACGTTTTTAATTAGATACGTTACTGTAAATTTGATCAGATTGATTTTGTTGGCAAACGTAATGAATGCCTCGAGGCTCTGACATTCCACCCACTTCATCTCTATATCGTCTATGAAACGCAACCAGCTATGGGGCCTAAATGGTGCTTGAAGTAACAAGTTGCGTTCCAGTCTGCCCATGAAGACATTGGCATAAGACGGTGCCATTTTCGTACCCATAGCAGTGCCATTTAACCTGCAGGTAATGTTTTCCATTAAACAAAGTTGTTGAACTTGAGAACATGTTCGGAGCTGAAGGGATGCAAAAAAGACTACTACTCACTTCTTACATACATACCCTCATCGTGTGGAATATTGGTGTACAAAGATATATCCATGGTCACGACAGGGTATGATTTGGGAGGCCAATAATTAAA